TCGCCTCGAAGCCCGCGTGGTCCGTGTAGTCGTAGAGGAGCATGTCGCACGCCCCGCCGGCCTTGATCACGCCGTTCGCGATCGGGATCGAGTCGATGCGGTTCCCGTCCGGGCCCTTGTCCGAGCCGCCGTTCGGGTGGCCGGGGACCTTGAACTGGACGACGGCCAGCGAGTACTTGGCACCCGCCGGCGACGGCAGCAGCGTGTTGTAGCGGACCTTGGACGCCGCGGCCGTGTCGAGCATCTCGAGCGCCTTGATGCCCATGAGATCCGTCAGCTTGCACGCCTCGTAGTAGTCCGCGTCCGGCACGTCCGCGAGCGTCTTGTCGCCGCCGCAGACGGCCTGGAACATGGACACGCCGACGCAGGAGCAGTTGAACTCTCCGACGACGTATTCCGTCTCCATGTCGCACGCGTTCTCCGTCTTCGACCAGCCCTCGGGGTTCTTCGGGATGTAGTCACACGTCCAGAGCAGCGGGAGCGCCTCGCCCTTGAGGTCGAGGACGTCCATCAGGCCGTTCTTGATGTCCGTCGTCAGCTTCGTCAGGAGGTCCGCGTAGAGCGGGTCCGACGGCTCGTAGTACGTGTACGCCGAGTTGCCGCCGACCGCCGACAGGCCGCCCTCGGGCTTCTTGTGGATGATCATCTGGCACGTGTCGCCCGCCATGAGGACGCGGACCTCGCCCTCGGAGATGCGGGGCAGGAGCCGCTGGTCGACGAGCTGGCCGCCGGCCGCCGCGCCGCCCTTGAGGTACTCGCCCGGGAACGTCGACGTCCAGGTGCCGGCGCCGGCGCCGCTCGGGCCGTCGACGCAGAACACGAGGAACTCCTTCACCGTGTGGTACTCGACGTGGTTGTCGTTCATCTCCATGAGCTTGAGCATGACGTCGTCGCCGAGCGACTCGGCCCCGAACGTCTTCGACGGGTACTCGATGTCCGGGATGATGCCGTCCTTGGTCTCGTTGGCGATCCAGCACAGCCAGATGCCCTCGCCCGCCGAGC